TGTGTTGGGAAGAGGAAAGAAGCTAGGTGGGGAAAAAAAACTAGCACAGAGGGGAACTAATAGGGGAGAGGTCCTCAGCAACAGCGCATTTTTTTTTCTTTTTTTTTTTTTTTTTACCTCTGCAACTTGTTCATTTAGGCTGCTTGCAGACATTTAAAAAAAAAAAAAAAAGCCCAAGAAAAAAACCCCTGCTTTACTGGAAGAAGCAGTACATTAGTTTGACCCTGCCCTGCAGTGTCTGTATAGATTGGGTGCTTCAGCGGGGCTTTTTGGCACATTTAGCTAAAGCTGGTTCAATCAGGTATTAGATAAGTGCCAAAAAAGCCTCACTAAAGTGCCCAATCTATACAGGAGTCAGGTGAGCTGACTCCAACTAATGCACTGCCTCTTCTGGACATGTGCTGGGCTCGGCACGGGCATGTGCTGAGTTTAATGTAAAGAACTGTGTTTTTGTTTGTTTGTTTGTTTTTTCTAACATCTGCAAGCAGCCTTAAGGTATCAGGAGTGTTGCATTAGAAAATCCTTGGTAGACAAGCCTTATAAAAGCTGCTGAGCCAAAAGCTACTGAAGATTCAATGACAGGTGGGAAAGATTTAAAACTGGATTCATTCTACCCTGCCGCTGGTTGGCCCATACAGAAGTGGCAGCTATTGCACCAAGTGTCTCTATACTTCTATTCTGGTGAAGAAAATCAGCTTCTTTGCTTGAGACCTGTTTCGGTTTTGGAAGGTTAACTTTTTTGGGGAAAATGTTGGTATGGTGTATGAATAAATATGGTAATTATCAATCGTATTTCCAAATTAAACAAGGATGTTCTCCTTAAGCCATTGTACTGATAGAAAAGTGAGGTGTTGCAAATGGGAAGATTGAATAATGCAAGAAGGAAACGGTCTTTTCCATAATAAGAGCAATGCACAAAGCTGCTAGCAAAGTTAACTGATTTTTTGGGGTTTTTTTGTTTTCAAGGTTTGTTTTTATTTGGGTTTTTTTTTCCTTTTGTATCAGTACAGAAGATCTCGGGGCATGATACTCTCGATTCACACCTTTTTAATTTTTTTTAGAATGTTGAACTTGCGTGAAGAACATGGCTACCGCAATCTATGTTTTTGTGTTGTAAAGTAAGAGTCCCTTTTCCAAGGGAATGGAGAGAACCTGTGCGCAAATGGGGAGAGAGATATTGCAGGACTGAAGACTGTTTTTTTTTTTATTCCTGTAACCTGCAAATTGTTTCTGAAGTTGATTCTGCTAATGTCTTCTGTTCTTGTCTTCCAGCCCCATTTTGTTACTAGGGTTTTTCACATGAAAATTGGATCCATTGCTTAATTAATATGCCCTGTGGCTGGTCTCTAGCTGATGGAGAAGCTGTGTCCTTTGAAGTAGAAGCTTCAGCAAACAGCTGAGTGCCTTGTCTTTAATTCAGCAACCCATTGCAAATCAAGTGGGCTATGAACCACCTGGATATGAATCATTCAGGTCCTAGTGTGTTCAGAACCAAAAATAACAGATGGGAAGTAGAAGGAAATAGCGGGACACTGTCGATTAGTATGATAGATGCTGGTCTCAGCACACTACTACCTGCTTAACTGTGGTCAACATTTGTTGTAAGCAGTATGGTAAAGAGATTTGGAGGGTGATAATAAAGTAGCTTTGTGGGGGGAGTTTTTCCCAAACATGAAGAGCAGCATGGGAGAAAACACAGATATGCTTGTTTGAAAATTTAGCAAGTGGGAGATTGAGGATGGCATCATGGGCCAATCGGGTAGGAATCAGAATTTCAGTAGTGAATGAGGGATGACAGGTAGGATGAGAACAGGTTGTGAAGAGCATTGAAAATGTCTTGTGCTAGTCTGGTTTTATCATCTCTTGTCAAGTATAATTTGACACCTGAACAGCAAGATATTTTTGAAGAAGGTAAGATATATAAAGCAGCACTGGCAAATGTTCAAAATAAAATTTCTGTTGTAAAGTACCACTAATAAACTAACAGCTTTCAGTCCTTTTGGAGCTGTGCATATAGCCTGTTGCATTTGATCTCTTCCTTTTCTTGCTTCTCCCCCTAGCCTTGGTAAGGAATCTGGTTCAATAACTAGGTAGCACAAAGTTCCTTTTCTTATAAGCTTGGGTTTTTGTTGTTTTTTGGTAACATGCTCAATTCTACAGTTCCTGTTATAGGAGAATTGCTGCTAAGATGGTGACACCTGTTATGTGGGGATGTGAATTAACAGCACAATTCATGTTGGCTAATGACTGATTAAAGGGTAATGTTGAAAGGAGAAGTAGTGGGTTAGAAGGATGCTTTTCAGGGATGAGACACAGGACTAATCTTTTTTAGTATTTTTGCTAGTAACATTGATGCAAAGTAATAATGTACAAATTAAACTTGCTGGTGACACAAAGTTAGGAGTCCTTAATACAGAGAGAGGCTGAAACATCTTGCAGGAAGAATTTGACTTCTGGGAGTGCAGTAGTAGAAATGGCATGACAATTACTAGTACAAGTATCAGGTCATACTTATGGAGACAAGAAACACAATTTTGGCTATAAACTTGGGAGGTCCTCAGTTGGAAATTACAGCAGGAGAAAAACCTGGGTGGGTTAGTTGACTGGTGTTGTTATAGTCGTTCCATATAAAGTGGCTGGGCAAAAAGGCAAATGTTCTTCTCGTATGTACTGGGCTGAGGTAATGTCGGTGCAGATCTGAGACGGCATGTCTCTGTGCAAGGCCCTGATGAGACCTCATTGGTTGCCCTCTTTCAAGGAAGATGCATTACAATTGGAACAGGTGCATAGGAAGAATACTAAGGGTCTTGTTATAGGTTACCTTTGCACTGTCATAAAGACACTTAAAATGGGCGCATTTACCCATTAAAGCAGGGGTGGGCTATTTGGGACTGTGGGCTACATGGGGAGTTTTGGGGAGCTGTTGCAGGCTGGGTCAGCACTCCTTCCCTCCCTTCCTGCAACAGCTCACCAACCCTCCCTATGTGGGGTGATGCTGAGGGGGTGGGGGGAGCTGGCATGGACAGCAGCTTTAGCAGGTTCAGCCTCCAGCTTGCCCTACCCTGAGGAGGGCCTTGGTCAGATGACCCAGTCCTTGGGGGGAACCTGCCGGCTGCATCTACAACTGATGCTGGTACCCACCTGGCACCACTTCTGGTGTGTTGGCCTGAAGTTGGTGTAAACTGCGGGGATGTCCTGTAGGTATGTGACGGTTGAGGGGAAGGAGGGGGAGAAGGGGGAGATAGAGGTGGCCCTGCCCAGCATGAGTGGCAGTGGCCAGTGCTGAGTGCTGGGCAAAAGCAGGACCTGATGGCAGGAGTGCGCACTGCTACCATGGCTCTTCTGGCTTGCAGCCACCCAGAGCCCATGCTGGGGCTGCCCTGTAGCTCCTTCCTGCTGCTACTGCCATGCTGTGGGCCTGGAGTGGCTTGGAGGTGGCTCAGGGCAGCGGTGTTGGGGAGGCGCCACAGGGTAACCCTGGCACGGGCTCCAGGCAGCAGCAGCCAGAAGGGCCCCAGCAGCGGCAAGCCAGTCTGCTGCCAGGTGAGTGCTAACTCAACTCCTGCCCCGGTGTGACATGCAGTGAGCCTGCTGGGTCTCGCCATTGTCCCGGTGTTAGTACTAACCCAACCTCTTTCTCTCTGCCCTCCCCCCACCATTTTCTCTTTTCACTCCTTTTTCTTTATTTCTCTTCCCTGTCCCTTCACTTTGAAATTTTCTTTTGTCCCCCAAGACTTTTCCAGCCCTAACTACTCTGGCTGTCACCTTTTGGCTGCAGAGGGAGGAAGTCACATGGTGGTTTCTCTGCCTCTGAGCTACATGCCACCTGCAGAGGGGGGATAGAGTCCGCACCCCGCTTCCCAGGCCCCCTAGTGGCAGGCCACAGTTATTTCATGTCAGACTTGCACTAAGTCTTAACCTATGAGTAGGGACCTGCTGAAATTGAGGAGGCAGGCAGCCGATTTCATGGGCTGATCATGAGGCTGGCCACCGTTTTTGCAGGATTATTGTGGTGGCGCCCTGGTGGCCCTGCTTCTTGCCACTGGTTGGCTAAAACGGTTGTCCTTCACACGGCCCCTGCCCCTTGCTGCTTGTTGGAGGAGAGGGGCAGGGCTGCATGATGGCCAGCCCTTTTAGCCAGTCAGCGATAAGAGGTTAGGGGCTGCCACCGTCTTGGCTGCTCCCCTTCATACTGATTGATCCATCTTCCCCTCTTGCTGGCTGAAGGGCTGGGCTGCAGTGGCTTTAGTACAGTTGACTCCCACTGAGCAGCCAGCATTTTATTAAAACATTTTATTTTTAGTAATTTTTTTGCTCATTTTACAGACAATGTCTGACTTCGCAGTTTCTACAGAATCGCAAATTGAGTAGATCCCTAACTATGACTGCTCTGAAACTGTTCCAACTTTATGATAACGTAACATTCCACAAATTTTAAAGTGTTTTAAAGATAATCTGTAGCAGCAGCCTAAGGTGATCAAGAGAATGGAGAAACCTAGCTTATGAGTGAAAAATGGAAAGCTTGGCTTGTTTGAGGTAGCAAAACAAAAGCTGAGAGAGGATATGATTGCTTTCTACAAATATAAAGGGGAAACATGCCAAAGAGGGAAAACAGTGATCTAAGTTAAACTGTCTTTTACTAAATGTTGGCAGAAGAATAAATGGGTGTTTATGGCTATACAAATTAAGGGGGCTCTTCATGTATCCTGCATAATTTATAATGTAATCCAGAAGTGGGAAACACAGTCTCTCTTTATCAACCAGGTTTTGACTTGTATTCCTTGCTGTCCTGTAAGGCTCAATGTTAATTCTTTTAAATTAACCAAAGTCAGTCTTCTGACTTAAATTTATTTATTTATTTATTTTTTTTGGAGGAGAGGTTTTCAGATTTATGAGGAGTAGATAGAGGCCCTCCCCTCCCGTTTATTCCAAGTTTCTTCTTTAATACTCTGTATGCAGGTAAACAAATAGCATTAAAATGCGTGTGTGTTTTTTAACAGCTTGATAAAACCAGGATCCAAGGCACCAACAACTCCAGTGAAACTGAAGAAAGTCAGTACCTTCCAAGAATTTGAAAGTAATACAAGCGATGCTTGGGATGTTGGGGATGATGATGATGAACTTTTAGCAATGGCAGCTGAAAATTTAAATACTGATGTGGTCATGGAAACAGCTCACAAAGTAATTCAGAATCACAGCAAGTTACAAGAGCAGCATAAACTTCAGGAGGAACAGATACAGGAAGAAAAATCAGTGCAAACTTCTGGACTTTCTTCAGCTGCCCATGGTGACAACAGGCTCGTCAAGTCAGTCAGTGAAAGTCATGCATCGTGCTCTGCAGGTATGTTAAGATATGAGAAGGATGCTGGCTGTAGGATGTAATGAGCCATCTGTAACCTTCCCTTTTGAGATTAAAAAGATAAATGTGATATTAATTTTGATATTTAGTACTGTAATAAAATGATGATGATGAATGCTGATTTCGTTATAGTGGCATGTCGCATGTCAAAAGCAAGGGAGAGGAAGGATAATAGAAGATTTCTTGTTTCAGCGTTTTAAACCACATAATTGCTTTTTAAGGGGGAAATGGGAACCTTTACTGTAGTAACCGAACCAAGTTTAACTGGGATCTGGTTTTAAAATGCTTGTTCTACTTTTGGTCATATTTTTCCTTAAAATGCAGATATAACATGTTTTAAAACTCCTGTACCTGTAGAAGGCCTTGGGTATCATCAAGAGGAAGGTAAAAGCCTGGTTTCCTCTGCCTCCTGTTTCCAATAATCCTTCCTTTTTCTAGCACTGCACTTTTGGTTAGGAGTTCAAAGCACATACATACTTTTAAAGTCTGTTAGTTATCTTTCTTGAAAAAAGTGTGTAACTATTTCCTTTTTCACAAAGTTGTTATGAGAAAAAAGTTGATATAGCTTTAGTAAAGCTTAGATACTGTATTTGAGAGGCGCTTGTAAACAGTAAAAATAAGCTGACCCTTTTGTTTCCAGTGTTTTGGTTTTTACTTTCTGTTGATCATAATATTTAAAAACCTGCCTGATTTAACTAGAGAAAATGAAGGTGGTGGTTGGTGTTAGGGGGAGGGGGGATATTTTTATGGTGAGGCAGTGCAGTCTTCTTTCCTTGAGTCTCTATTTCTTAAATAATAATGTTTGAATTAACTTTGGTGCTACTCATTCTCCACTCATTGAATTATAGAATTGTAGAAATTAAGGACTGGAAGGGACCTTGAAAGATTGAGTCCAACCCCTTTGCTCTGGGCAGGAATACTCCTGAGATCAAATGATCCCAGCATCTAGATGTCTGTCCAGTCTCCTCTTGAAGACTTCCCAAGGAGGTGATGCAGTACTCCAACCTTGGAAGTCTATTCCAGATTCTGGTCACCCTTACTGTAAAGAAGTTCTTCCTTGCATCCAATCTGAAACCATCCTCTAACAGTTTATGGCCATTGCTCCTTGTCCTCCCCTGGGGTGCCCTAGTGAATAGTTTCTCCCCAATATTCTCATGTTACATACTTAAAGACGGACACTAAGTCCCCCCTCAATCTTCTCTTCCCCAGGCTGAACTGTCTCCTTAGTCTTTCCTCAGAAGGTCTGTCCTCCAGGCCCTTAATCATTCTTGTGGCCGTTCTCTGGACCCTTTCAAGATTCTCCAAGTTCTTTTTTTTTAAGTATGGCTCCCAGAACTGGATACAGTACTCCAGCTGGGGTCTCACCAGTGCTGAGTGGAGGGGAAGTATCACTTCCTTAGCCCTGCTTGCGATGCATTGGCTAATGCATCCCAGTATGCTAGTAGCTCTGTTGACTACAGCATCACACTAGTGGCTCATATTCATCCTGTGATCAACCATAACCCCAAGGTCCCTTTTAGCCATTGTGCTGGCCAGGACATCTCCTAACCTATATTTATGTTGCTGGTTACTTCTCCCCAGATGAAGGACTCTGCACTTATCCTTATTGAACTGCATCCGGTTTCTCTCCATCCACTCTTCCAGCTTGTCCAGGTCTGTTTGTATTTGCATCCTATCCCCTAGCATGACCGTTTTTCCCCATAACTTATTATCGTCCACAAACTTGGCCAGCATTGTTTCCACATCCTCATCTAAATCGTTGAAAAAAAGATGTTGAACAGTGTGGGGCCAAGGACTAAACCCTGTGGGACCCCTGGCCACTTCCTGCCAAGATGATACGTACCTGTCCACTATGAGTCTTTGGGTTCAACCCCTTAGCCAGTTCCCAACCCATCTGACTGTGGACTCTGCCAGCTCACAATCCCCCTGTTTTTTATAAGAGCATTTTGTGAAGCCATATCAAAAGTCTTTTTAAAATCCAAGTAAATGACATCAATCATGCCTCCAACATCTCAGCAACTTGATCATAGAAGATGAGGTTGGTCAGACATGACCTGCCTGCAATTAAACCATGTTAGCTATCCTTCAGCATCATGCCTTCTACCAGTCTCTCTCAAATGGGCTTCTTGATAACTTTTTCCAAAATTTTACCCAGTGTCAAGGTCAAACTGATCAGCTTGTAGTTTCCCAGATCCTCCTCTCCCTTCTTAAAGATTGGCACCACATTGGCCCCTTTCCAGTCTTCTGAGACCTCTCTTGAGCACCATGAGTCTTCACATACCTTTGCCAATGGTCCCACAGTGACTCCAGCCAATTCCTTCAGCGCTCTTGGGTGTAGTGGTGTAGTCCATCTGGTCCTGCTGACTTGAAGACATTTGGCTGCTCTAAGTGCTCCCTCACCGGTTTGATACTGACCATTAGCTGGTAATCCCCCCCCTTTTTTTTTTGTCCAGTATCTGACCAGGCAGGCAATCAGCGTTTGCATGCAGGAACACTGATGCCAAGTGTTAATTAAAGAGTTCAGCTTTCTCCTGCCTGTTATCAGTTGTCCTGTCCTATTCTGCAAGGTCCCCACATTTTCCTTGGTCTTCCTCCTGCTCCATATAGACCTAAAGACGGACTTCTTATTGTCCTTGATTTCAGTCGCCAACCTGATCTCGCCCGCCACCTTTGCCTTCCTTATCCTCTCCCTACAAATACAGGCTATATTTGTGTATTCTTCCTTGGTGACTACTCCTTGTTTCTACTCTTTGTAAGCCTCCTTTTTCTTTTTTTTAAGCACTCCTTGACTCCTCTGGTAAGCCAAGACAACTTCCTGGCCCCTTTACCATCTTTCCTGCATACAGGAACGGACCTCTTCTGCGCTCTGAGGATTGCTCCATTGGGGAACAACCACCCTTCCTGAACTCCCTTCCCCTCCAGTCCCTTTTTCGCATTAGTCTCTCCCACTATTTTCCTAAGCTCACTGAAGTCTGCCTTCCTGAAATCAAGCACCTCTGCCCTACTGGCTGACTTCCCTGCCTTATGATGGATAATGAATTTTGTCATCTCATGATCACTCTCTCTTAGATTACCCTCAATCCTCATATCTCCCACTCCCACTGTCTCAATGTTGTCAGTAGCTTTTAGTAGCAAGATGCTTTAAAAATAAATGGCCCCACAAAATGTGAAATGGACTGTGACCTTTGAAGAAGTGCCAGCTCTGAACTGACATACTACTAAGTCCTGAAATACAGATGCAGGAAGAACTTTGCCTCTGTCTCTCTACTTAGCTTAAGAAACTACACGCAGTTAAGACTTGAAGGTTTGAAGTTTACTGGAGGAAATTTCTTCTAAAATTCCCATTCTATTTAAATATGATTGTAGGTGGATATTAAGTTACTGGTGACATGAATTGGCTTTCATTGAGTCTAAAATAATGGAGAATAACTTGTATTCCTTTTCTTTTGCTGTAGATGGTGCTAGTGAAAATTCTTCCATGCAGAGATCCCAGTCCCTTCCCCATGATTCCACAGTACTGCCGGTGGGTGGAATGACAGACTATAGAATATCAACTACTCCTGCACTAACTGAAAGAGAAGCATCCCGATTAGACAAATTTAAGCAACTACTTGCTGGCCCAAACACAGATCTTGGTAAGTACTTTAAAAAACCCCAAAAAACAAAGCAAAACAAAAAGCTAAATGAAGTAAAACCTTAGGAATCTAATGAGGGAAGTGCTAATCATAATAGTTTTTAGTTTGACATGCCTAATTTCCTAATGGTGTAAGTGAGTACTAACTTTTTCAACTATTTCTAGGTTTGAACTGACTTGCATGGAATCATAGAAAATTGGGGTTGGAAAGGACCTCAGGAGGTCATCTTGTCCAACCCCCTGCTCAAAGTGGGACTATCCCCAGGCCTCTGTCTAGCCAGGTCTTCAAAAACTCCAAGGATGGAGATTCCACAACCATTTTGAGTAGCCTGTTCCAGTGCTTTACTACACTCTAGTGAGAGAATTTTTTCCCCTTATATCTAACCAAAAAATTTCCCTTGCTGCAACTTGTGGCAGAGCAATGGTCTCCATTGAGAACAGTCTACTTCCACCCTCTTTCTGATTACCCTTCAGGTAGCTGAAGGCTGTTATTAAATCCTCCTTCAGTCTTTTCTTCTCCAGACTAAATAAGCCGGGTTTCCTCAGCTTCTCCTCAGAAGTCGCATTCCCCAGCCTCCTAACCATTTTTGTTGCCTTCTGCTGGACTCTCTCCAATTTCTCCACAACCTTTCTGTAGCGGGGGGCCCAAAACTGGACAAAGGACTCCAGATGTGGCCTCACCAGTGCTGAATAGAGAGAAATAATCATTTCCCTCGATCTGCTGGTGACACTTCTACTAATGCAGTTCAGTATGCCGTTAACCTTCACAACAATGGCACACTGTTGGCTCATATTTAGCTCATTGTCTAGTGTAATCCCCAGGTCCTTTTTGCAGAGCTGCTACTTAGCCAGTCGGTCCCCAGCCTGTACTGGTGTATGGAAATGTTCCATTCTAAGTGCAGGACTTTGCTCTTGTCCTTATTGAACCTTGAGATTTTCTTTTGATCAAATTCTCCAATTGGTCTAGGTTGCTCTGAGTCCCAGCCCTATCCTTCAGTGCATCTACTCTTCCCCTTAGCTGCAAACAAAGTGTTATCTGCACCTTGGGGGGTGGGGGGGAACCTGTTCCAAACCCTCGGCATTTGGCTCGTATAGAAGTTTTTCCTTGTCTAGCCTGAAGTATATTTCAGTCAGTTTGTGCCCATTATTTCTTGTCCTCTCCTGGGGAGCCTCAGTAAATAGATGTTCGCCCTAAACCCTGATGTGCACCTCTGATATACTTATAGGCTGCCACCAAGTCCCTCCTGAGTCTTCTCTTTTCCAGGCTGAACAGTGCCAAGTCCTTCAGCCTCTCCTCATATATCTTGGTCTCCAGGCCTCTAATCTTTGGACTCTCTTGAGCTTCTCCACATCCTTGAAGGGAGGTGCCTAGAACTGGACGCATTATTCCCGTTGCAGTCTCACCAAGGCTGAGTAGAGTGGGAGGATGACATCCTTTGCCTTGCTCGAGATGCCATGGTGGATGCTTGCATACCACTGCCGAACCTGTAAGTGTGTTTGTAGATTACTTTTCCCCAGATGGAGCACTTTACATTTCTCTGTATTAAATAACATCAGGTTGAGGTCTGCCCACTTCACGAGCCTGTCCAGATTGGTCTGCATTGCCTGTCTGTCTTTGAGTGTGACCACACTCCCCCATAGTTTGGTGTCATCAGCGAACCTTGCCAGGTTGCTTATAATTCCTGAATCCAAATTGTTGATGAACATGTTGAAGAGCACTGGTCCGAGTACTGAACCCCTAGCGACGCCACTAGTCACCTTCTGCCATGATGACTCAGTTCCATCAGTCAGTACCCTTTGGGTCTTACCATGGAACCAATTACTTAGCCACCAGACCGTGAGGTAGTCGAGGCCACATTTTCCCTATTTGACCATGAGGACATGGTGGGAGACCAGGTCAAAGGCCTTATGGAAGTCCAAGTGTATGATCAATCTCATTTCCCCTATTCAGGTGGCGAGTTACCTCATCATAGAAGGAAATGAGGTTGGTCACGCATGACCTGCCCATAACGAAGCCATGTTGGCTATCAGAGATTTCAACCCTACTGGCTGATTTTTCCCTGACTTGCAGTGGATGGGGAAAGTGATTATCTCATGGTCACTGTCGCCCAGTTTCCCTTCAGTCCACAGGTTGCTCACTAGGTCATCCTCTTTTGCCAGAACCAAGTCTAGGAGTGCCTTGCCCCTGGTCGGCTCATAGACTTCCTGAGTTACATAGAGTTCCTCAATGCAAGTGAGGAAACTTTGTGAATGATCAGATCTAGGCGAGTGCTCATCCTACGAGATGTCTGGGTAGTTGAAGTCGCTCATGACCACCATGCTTCTAGAGTGTGCAGCCTCTGCCAGTTGTCTAGAGGATTCTTGGTCAAGCTGTTCTTCTTGGTTTGGAGGTGTGTAATAGACTCCTATGGTCAAATCCTCTTCTCCACGCTCTCCCTGTATCTTGACCCAGAGGGTCTCAAGTTGTCCTTCTTTGGTCCCAATCTTCACCTCAAAGTTGGTGTAATGTTCCTTTACATAGAGAGTGATTCCTCTGCCCTTCTTCCCAATACAATCCCTCCTATACGGGGCGTATTCCCCTATGCCTGTGGTTGAGTCATAGGTGGAGTCCCACCAGATCTCCATGACCCCTATAAGATTGTATTGCTGGGTGGTTAGTATGAGGGCCAGTTCCTCCTGCTTATTTCCTATGCTTCTGGTGCTAATGTACAGGCAACCAAGCTTGCTAATGGAGTCCCTTGGCTTTCTGGTGATCGGTGGAATAACCTGTCTGGCTGATGTAGGAGAAAGCTTCCTTTTGTTCCCTGGGATGCTGGTTTTGAGGTTGCCATTTCTCAGGCTTTTGTTAGTGGTTGATGGCCCATCCCCCGGCGATCTCAGTTTAAAGCCGTATCCAGGAGGTCTGCCATTCTGGCCAAGAAAAGTTTCTTCCCCTTTGATGTGAGATGGATGCCATCTCTTTCCACTACCGTCAGCTTCCTTTTTGTGTTTTTGCTCACTAAAGAGTTCCCTGCTAAGCCAAGCTGGCCTTCTGCCATACTTGCTAGTCTTCCTGGGCATGGAGATAGTGCAGGAAGAAACTCTCAATAAGGTTTCTTTAAAGCACAACATGCTTTCCTGGACTCCTTTCCCCCTCAAACTGGCCTTGCAGGGGATCCTGCCCATCAGTTCCCCAAGTGAATCAGAGTCTGCTTTTCTGAAGTCCAGGGTCCTTCCTCTGCTTCCTTCCTTGTGACTTGTGGTCACTGCTGTGCAAATTGCCATCCACGTCTACATTCCCCACTAATTTTTCCTTATTTGTGAGCACCAGGTCAAGAAGAGAATGGCCCTAGCTGGTCTCTCTAACATTGGCACCAGGAAGTTGTCTACAAAACTCTCCAGAAACTTCCTGGATTGCCTGTGCACTGCTGTATTGCCATCTCAGCAGAAGTTAAGGTGCATGAAATCCCCCATGAGAATTAGGGCCTGTGATTGGGGAAACTTGTGCTAGCTGTTTGAAGAAAATCTCATCCACTTCGTGCTCCTGGTCTGATGGTCTGTAGCAGACAGCCACCACAACATCACCCTTGTAGTTCTCCCTCTGATCCTAGCAGAGGGACTTTCAACCAGTTTCATGCTGGAGCTCTAGGCAATCATACGGCTCTTTTACATGAAGTGCAACTCCTTCTCTTCTCCCCTGCCTGTCCTTCCTGAATAATTCACATCCATCCATGACAGTGCTCCAGTCAAGTGAGCTATCCCACTAAGTTTCTGTTATTCCAGACGTATCTTAGTTTCCTGACTGAGGACTTTGTAAAAGAACTGTAGGATAGAGTTGGGTTTTGGGACTCGTTCATGTAATATGTGGTTTGCGTACATTGTTCGGATTCTGTGTGTCGTGATGGATTTTTTTGGTATTCATTGTCTTTCATGCAATCTTCACCTAACTACCCAAGTAACTTGCGAATGCAGAGTTTATGTTAGGAAGAACATTCTTAACCTCTTTCAATAGTGGGAAACCAAGCAAGAGGGAATTTTTGTTTAAAAAAAAATTACTGCAAGCAAGATAATTGGAGATTACAATTGGAGAGGCAGTTTGATTAAGTTGTTTTAAATATTATTATTCCTATCTTCTCTATGAGCATTCTTTATGAGCATTCCAGGATAGGTACTGGTATCTGCTTTACTGATACTAATAAATATACTGACAATGTGCTGTTCTCATACAATAATCTGGTACACCACATGGGAGGCACAACAGTGCACAAAAGGAACATTTCAGTTTACTGAAATTGTGGGAGGGAAATGTTTTTTTTAGAATTGCCAGGTCATCCTCAACTCCTGGAATTGGGGCTGGGTCGGGGAAGGGGGTAGGGAGGGAGGAAGGAAGAGATGCAGTGGCTGACTGCTTCCCAAAGGTCCCATCGTAAGTTGTGGCTGTTTACCTTGAGACTGGAAACTGAACCATAGTGTTCATTTTAACTGTCAAGATAGAAAAAAGAAGTCTAAAGAGATGAGAGAGAGAGATTATACAGCATCTGAAGAACCTGGTTTATATTGTGATAAAATTGGTAATAATAATGAAAGTCAGAATAGGAATTTCCCTGGAGTTGATCATCCCAGAGGATCATGTGCAACTCTTCTGGAAGGGAACGAAGATTGCCGAAGTGTGCAGTTCTTGAGTGCTCTGGCTTCCCTGATTCATGATCCCAACCTGCTGCTTCACCTCCATGGCCTTTGATATCAGCAGGAGCTGTGGGCAATTTTATTATCTCTTCTGAAAATTGGCTTCTTTTAATCTTTCTGCCTCCGATTTTTCCACTTACTGGATGGGGATAATAGCATACTTTACACACTTGTTTAGAGCTTAAGATCTTTGCTATGAGGGTGTTTTCTCCCTGTCAAGCAGTAGTACACTTGGTGCACTCTTTATTTTTAGTGTGTTCTGAGGATTAATGTTTGTTTATGAAGATGAAAGCACTAAATGTGAGCTGTGCACTGTTTTTAAGGCTTTCCAATAAA